ACACGTAGATAGGTGAATTCAAGGGTCTGTTTGATGATTAAGAACGATGCAGAATAATGGGAAATTCAAAACCACATAGAGCAGGTTAAGAGTTATAAAGTGTAAGAGGTCGGAAACCAGAAAGCAGATGAGAAACTTCTATTTCAATTGCTGGGCAGGAGGTCAGGGTGCCTTTTGAAGGTATGTACAGTAACTGAGGAGAAGCAGGCAGCACTTGAGACAGCAAAACGTCGTGGTCACTGATGAGTGAAGCTTGGCAATGAATGAATAAGATGGGGATGCATGGGAGGGTTGCCACAGGAGCTGCAATTATGATTAGATTAAATGAAGACACAGTCGAACAAATGGCTCTTTTGGTGAATTGGGTTGTTGATCCAAGGCTGGAGATCAGACAACTACAGTGGGGCGAGGAGGGGATTTCACCATGGAAATTGAAAATACTAATTTGGAGGCTGTGAGAGTGATATTGCTGTCTGAATCTTCCCCTTCTCTTGCTCAGTGTTGAAGGAGAAAGTGGCGGGACAAGGAGACTGAGCGCATAAACTTGCATTCAGATGTCCAAGTGAAATGATTCTCCAATTTTTGTCCATCTCACACAGCTTAGTACTGTGGACAGGCCTGGGGTAGAATTGTCTGGCTTACACTCTTAAAAATAAAACAAAACAAAACTGCAGAATGTGTAACTGGTTCTGAAACCAGTTTTCTGTGTTATTTCTGGTCATTAGCTACAGGAAGTGTCCTACCCAAAATATGTTTTCTCATGTGCATTGTTTGGGTGTGTGGTGGGAAGCATTGTACACAGGGATTGCCACGGGTGTGACGTTGGGTTGCACTGTCCCACAACAGCTTTTTGATGCAGTTCTGAGAAGGAAGTTAAGTCTTGGTGGGAAAACCCGATGATTTTTTGTGTGTGATATCATAAAACTCTCCCAACTCCCCCAAACCCCAGTGCTACTAGTCGTGCACCTCTCATTTTTGAGTGTGGTGTTGGGACACGCCACTGACGTTGTGCCTAGGTTGGAAGAACGTGTGTTGCTCCTGGATTGACAGCCTAACGCAGGCTCTGTCTGCAGCTAGTCCGTGTTGTAGAAGGCACTGTGTAGATCCCAGTTCAGTTGCTGGGAGAGTGCATCAGGGAAGCGTCACCATTTGCTTGCTCGGCTCTTAACCACTTTCTGAAGCATCTGCTGTTTGAGACAGGACCGTGGGTTTAAAGGAACCTTTAATCTGCTGTGGTACGGCTGTGTATATGCTTGAGGGAATCTGCGTTGTGTTGGTTGGCACTGATATATGCTGAGGAAAAAAGCGTAATGATTATTGTGCTGTCGCATGTAGTGACATGTAATCTCCTAGGTCGCTACAACTATGCAATGGGATATTCAAAAAAAGAGGATTACTCGTGTTTTGTTTTGTTTTGTTTTGAACACAGACTCTGTGTGATGTTCTGTAGTATTAGTATTTAGCTGCTAAAATATTCTGGAAGAGCTGTGCTCAGTGGGATGCTGTCACTCATCCTATAGCAGACAGTAGGACAGCTAAAGAAGAGATGACCAAAACCCTACCTAGCTCTTCTTTCTCAGTAAATATACTCTGTATATGTCATTGAGAAAAATAAATTTGACTCTGTGGCTCACCTCATTCAAACATACCTTTGTTCTGGTCCCATTCTTTTGTAGGTCAGGTTTTCTGGTGAAGCTTTGCAATCCTTCTGCCCAAATCCTGTAGTTTTAATTTTCATTCTGAGTCATGTAGAACATAATTTTCAATTTTGAGACTCATTAAATAAAATTAAGATCAAGACTAACAGATAGCAAAGACTGCGGCTTCCTCTTGGGGAAAGTCTTACAGCAAGTCCCCTGATCTGTCGGGGAGGTCAGGCTCCACTTCTGTCATGTGGGAACCAGACCATGTTTCTGATGGGGATGTGGGCTCCAGCTCAGGAGGGAGTTGTGCAAATGCTGAGCTTTGTCTTTTAGCCTTTAGTGTCAAGAGGAGTTCTTAGGAGACTTCCTTACATATTGAAGGAATCAAGGCCAGCAGAATTAAAGACAGTAAGAAATGTAACAGTTCTTATCTTTCATTAGACTGAAATATTAGAAATACTGGAATTCAGAAGAAGTCATCAAAGTTCATGATATATATGTCATCTTTATGTGATAAATGCATATAAATGATAACTTGCTATGTCAATAACAGTTCATGAGATACTGAACAGCAGCTACTGTTGACAATCTCTTTAACTAACGTCTCAAAATGATTTGAGGAATCCTTATTTGGCAGTTTTCATACCTAGCTGTGTACCATGGAGAACTAGTTTTTAGCCCTCGCCTTGTTACATTTTTAATGATGTGCCAGATAACTTGATCAATAATGAATTACTGTTTTCAGCTGACGGAAAGGTGTGGAAGAGAAAGGCTTAAAAAGCAAGAGTGGCGGCAGAGAGAGGTGTGTGCCTGTGTAAAGCAGATGGAATCAAAGGTAAAGGAACAAAAGCCATCATTCGTGTTTGCAGGCAGGTGATATTTCTTGGGAAGCAGTCAGCTTGGGTAATTTGCTGCATGCTTGCAATACGACTGTCTAGACTGAAGATCTAGTACAGTTCTTGTATCTGTGAGCATCCAAACAAGGATACTGAGGATCAGGGAATACTCAGCATTTTTGCCTTTGGTGCTGGCATGATAGGAGTTAAGTAGTGTGCGTGGTCCTGGTGTCATCAACTCGAGAAAGTGTTCAGTTGGAAGATTAAACTGTAGGACCAGAAAACCTGTCTCAGGGTGAGTGGCTCAGATATCTTGATGTGTTTAGTTGATAAATACCACTGCGGTGGAGAGCTTTCCATTCCAGCAAAGTTCGATGGTTGAAACCCAAAATAGTCCATGTCCAGGCTATAGATTATATGCAAAAACTTAATGGTAATATCAGATAGCAGCAGGACACAATTTGGTGAAGCTCTATGGCCTATCGTGTGTGCAAGCTGAGAGCCAGTAATTGCAGCGATCTCCTCCAGCCTGAACCTTGGAGTCCCTGCCAAGCAGTCTGCATACCAAAGACCTTTTGCAGACTACATCCATTCTTTCAGACTTCAGCGTAACAGTAGCAGTGGCAGTTACTGCTTGTGTGCAAAAGGAATATTGGGAAGGAATAGCATCAGAACTGAAGCTGATATTCGGGAGACCGTGCAATCTCCTTTATCTGAACAGCATAGGTGCTTGTGGATAATGGAGGTTCCCTGGCCTCACCAAGATAGTGTACTTGGTCTTTTACGGGAACATCTGTATTTCATAACGGTCTTGTTGGGGGTAACAGTACCAGAGAGGTCCTAATCCTTTGTCCGTGCTTGGATGCGTGCTCCTTCTGCATGTCGAAGGATACCCAAGATTTTGCTGTGGTCTAAAAAGCATCTCTGATAGGAAGGTACTTTAAGAAGTGGTAAAATTTCCTTTGTGGTTAGCAGATAACTGTCTGTTTCTGTGTTCAGTGATTTGGTCTGTTCGCTTCAGATGTTTGGTTCTGTTGCACAGTTGTTCGAGTGCTCTTTGACTTCAGTTGAGCCATATTGGTGTCCTTGGCATGCATTTTGACACCCATCTCTTGGCTGAGCACTACAGGAATTTGAAAGGCCAATTATTGTTGTTGGTTTCTTTTTTTTTTTTTTTTTCTTTCCCCCGGCTGGAAAGCCTTTCCTGATTTTGGAAGCTTGACTAAGTGTTGACAGAACTGAAGGATTCATTTTTCAAGTTCTTGCTTTACCTGTTGTTAAATTAAGATGACTTCTTGTCCATACGCAAGAGAAGTGTGTTTTGTTCTGTGGTGGCCCACGTCAGTCCGCAGGGGCAAATTTGCTTTGCATCGTCATCTCAAGTAACTGCCCTAATCAATTTCACCTAACCCAGTTTTCTCTCAATTTTCTATAATCTACCTCTAAACCAGATTTCATACATTCAGCAGACTCTACATGTTTGTTAGGGTAAGAATCATAGAATCGTTTGGGTTGGAAAAGACCTTGAAGATCATCCAGTCCAACCATTAACCTAACACTGCCAAGTCCACCACTAAACCAATTAAGGGGAGAGGAGCAATTTCATGTTTCCTGGCTTGGTGGCTGGATTATTTATAATGAAAGTAAAAACTAGGAATCCTTAAGATTGGAAAGGACCTCTAAGATCATGAAACAGTTGGGTTTAGACTCCTGTAACTTTGGATGATCAGCAGAAGGGGAATGCCACAGTGCCTAACTGGATCAGGTTGTGTGTCAAAACCAATATAGCTTAGCTCTGGTGATGGTGCCTGAGTGATTTAGAGCTCATTTTACTAGAGTTAACAGTGTTAATGAAATCCCCTCTTAAAACTTTCTGTATCTGGTGTTCCTGTAACATTTTCCTCCAGCACTGAATTCTCGGTGTGAAGTTTACGCCGTACCTGGAGAGGGCAGTTCTGTAAAGGTTTAATCGGAGCTCCCTACCCCATCTTCTTCTTGAGGCTCGTGGGGACGGCTCGCCTCTGCCAGGATCTGCTGGAAGGAGTTTGTTTTCAGAGTTAAGTTGTTCGCAGGGAGCTGCGACTGCCTCTCCACCTATCAGTTCCACTTTCCGAGCACGCTGAGGTTTAGCACCATGCGATGGGTGGTTGAGCGCTGCATGCTCCGGCACTCTGTGTTGCAGCATAGCACTTCTGTACCACGCCAGCGAGCACGGATGGCATAAACTTCTCTGTTTCAAAGACCCTTAAAAATGGTATTTGAGAGGCATGAACTCTCATTTACTGGCAGATAGCTGGGGTTTTTTTAAAGTCTCGAAAGGCACTGCCAGTAGTGCTTCACAACTCCAACTAGGTTGATGCTTTGCTAATACCAAAACCAGATAATCCTCACCCAGGTTGCTCTCAGGTAATTGCGTTGTGCCATATTTGTAACACATGACATTATAGCGTATCTTTCCAGTTTGTAAGACTGTGTGAGATGCCTTTGCAGTATAATTAAATATGTCTCAACTCTCTTATTTCAGGCTAGAAATCTTCATACAGGAGAACTGGCTGCTGTAAAAATAATCAAGTTAGAGCCTGGTAAGTTTGACATTCTTGTCTGTATTTTTGAATTGTATTTTCATTTTTTTCCATATGTTTATTTCCACATGGCTCTGAAGCTCCACATAAAAGAAATGTTTGGGGTTTTTTGTAGTTTCAGCGGTTAGATGACAGGAAGCACTGCAGGATGTACCATTACTTTTGGCTATGTCCTGCTCACTATTTCCTTGTCTGTTCTTATCTGCCTTATTGATTGTTGCATAAAAAGATGTTGTGGTTACAGTGTGGTGTTAGTACAAAGAGAAGATTAAGGACAGATGGTAAATTGTGAGCTCTGAGACAGTAGGGAGCTAGTAGGCTGTGTGAGTTGAAAGGGGGAAGGGACCAGGCAGTGATGCTGGTGCGCTGGGAAAAAGAGAGCCCTGTGCTTTTTAATGTGTCGTCTGTCTTCTCACCTGTGCTGAGGGAGGAGGATGGCTCGTACTGTCGTTTCCCCATGCATTTTCTGCTGCTACTCCTAAAAACAGGAGGTGCAGGAGAAGCTCACTTGCTGCCTAAGAGGTTTGCTGAGCTGAAGCTTAATCTGATTCCCGCATAGAGAGCTGAAATCAGAAATTGTGTCCTGAGTGGAAATGAGGAGAGGAGCTTTTGATCTCCTCAGTCATAACTCAGTCCCACCTGAGGATCTTGTATTTATTTGAAGAAGTAATCTCATTACTTGGTTGCTGGCATACCTTTCAAATCCCTCCTTAGTGTAGTCCTCTTCTGTATCTCTTTTCCACGTTAGTCTCCGTGGCTGCGGTTTGTCCGCGCTCCTGTGCTGTGCATGTTCAGGGTCCTGGTTCTCTGGGACAGGGGATGAGGGAGGCTCCTCCTGTGAACGCATGCTCCTCCGGTATTCGTGGAGTAACGCATGTAGCTTATGAAGCAACGAAGGGACACTGGAAATTAGTGTACAGTCACAGAGCTAGGAAGTAGTAGGATTTATGGAGACATGATGAGATAGCTTGCATGACTGGAGTGCTGCAGGGAACAATGCAGGGGAGTCTTTTAGGCAGGAAAAATGGAGGAAAATCCGGAAAGGCACATGACATAGGAGAGGCTGACAGAACCGAGTGGTTTTTAGTCTGGAGGTAAGAAGGCTGAAGAGGGATCTAACCGCCATCCTCCACGATGGACTGGTAGAGGAGCTGTACCCAGATTCTCGTGAAGAGTGCCCAGCGAAGGGGTGAGAGCCAGCCGGCGCAGGCTGCACCAGGGGAGAGTCCAGCTGGATGTGGGGAAGATTCCTCGCTAGGAGAGTTTGTGCTCTGGGGCAGGGCCCAGGGAGGTGGTGGGATCTCTGCCTTTGAAGATTTTCTGAAGTTGACTGGGCAAGGCCCTGAGCAACATGACCCCAACTGCAGCTAGCCCTGCTTGGAGCAGAAGGCTCTGGAGGTCCCTGCCGACCTGTCTTCTATGATTTGAGGTTTTGACAACCGGCACTGATATGTCTCCGGTCCCTGAACGCCAGCATCTATTCGTGACTGGATGGGTTAAGACTGGCATTTTGATGAGGAGCTCACAGTGTCAGTGTATTGCTAGCAAGTGAGGTGGATGTGCCATCTTCCTCTTTCTTGCTTAAGAGAATATGTTGTCTCATTTGCTTGTCATTGCTCGGTTCTGCTCAGTCACTCGGGTCGAGAGGCATCATGGGTTCTTAAACACGAAGGGTTTGCTAATGTCTGTAGGTCCTTGACAAGCAGAAAGGCCACCCTGTCTTCTCCTGGTCTCTCCAAACGTGCATCCCTCAGGAACTGAGCCCTGAGAGATGGCTCTGCCCATCCTGCCGTTGTATTTTGTAGTTCCTCCGGCTTTATATTAAATCCGGGCTAGCAGTACTTTTTCAAATCTACGGTGCTTACTCAAGACATCTGACCAGCTTGAGCACCTATACCTCTCCCACTGGGGACTCTGACCAGTGGTATATATAATAATCGGAGAGTCAGTCTTAGAAACCAATTGGTTTTAAATTTTTCCTTTAGCCATATGAATAAAGTTTCAAAGACGACTGTTTTTAAATAGCAGTATGTTCATTTTTCATAAAAGTTTAGTATGGTCCAGCTGACTTCTAGGCCAGCTGAATTTTTCCGACATGTCTGTTACCCTTGAATAATAATTTTGAAACCTTTGACAGGAGGATCAATGCTTAATGCCTGTGCCTCACCCCGTATTTCTTGGTTGTAAAATCCCAGATCAAAACTTTGAGGGAGGAGTGATAATGTCTTTGCAGTTGGGTTTTTTTGTCTTCCAAAAATTCCTTAACATTTGTTAAAAGATAACAACTTGCATGGAATGTCTCTCTTTTTTTTTTTTTTTTTTTTTTTTTTTTTTGGCTATTGTAGCCATTTTGAATTGGTTAAGCAACTATGCATGAATTTGGGTTGACTCACCAAAGTAGTTTTTACCAAAATAAAAATGGGGTGCGGGAGAAAAGGGCTGGGAATGTTTCTAAAATTGAGTGCTTTGGTGGCTTCACCCCATCCCTTGTTTTCTTCCTCTTGAGCTAGATTATCAGCGATACTGAGGTGCCGGTTATAAAGTGGGAGAGGAAGGCAGCAGGAGTCCCCATATATCACATGGTTATAGAATACAGGGGAAGAGGAGTTCAGGTCTATCTTTGTCTTATTTACTGTGAAGATCGGCAGGTGGGTCTCCCTCTTCACAGGGTGTTGGTTTCTCTCC